TTTGTTTTTCGTAACAATCGATAGTAACGAGGGTTGGAAAAACGAATCAGTTCCAAATCATTTTAGCATGTGTTCTGTTTTAATGGTTTAGGAGCAGACAATCTTGAAGCACGAAAAATATTTAATGACAGTTTTTCTAGTTTTTGACAAATAACAAATGTTTATTTTGAAATATAATTAACAATTTGTTTTTAAGGTACCATTCACTTGAACAGCGAATTGGACATTACAAAACGAATAGATAAGTGCGGAAATAAAAGGTCAAATCCAGTTGGCGGCGACGTCCAATAGCGTTGGGAATTTAAAACCCAGTGGATCTAACCACAAATAATAAGTCTGAATATGCGAGAAGGTTGACAGAAAATTTGTTTTCTGATTCAATCAAGGAAACAAATTGTTTCGATAATTTAGAATGTTATAAATGACTTTATAATTTCTACAGGTGATAAATGATTGGTAAACGAATAGAAAACGTATTGTTTACGACAGTATGCGAATAACGACTGTGTATACGATTTATTAATATCTAAAGATTGTACGAGTGGGTTGTCGACAACATAAATTTAAATGACTGTTTTATATAAACTTTTTAATTTGTCTAGTTAATGTGTCACCAGAAGAAAGTAGAGGTCCTAGAAGCAGCTACTACGAAGAAAATTGATTAACGAAATGATTGATATTTTGATCTCTCAGAACGAAACTGAGACAATTAGTAACGACTGTTATTCATAGACAACACTGTCAAAGACGGTTATAACAACAAATTATAAAACGACATGTGTTATAACGACAGTAGAGACGATTGTTAATTAAATAATAATAATAATTAATAATTTTTATAAATTAAACAATGTCATACAATAGGAAGACAGTAAATAATAAAGAAAATTAAAAAACGAATGTTCATAAATACGAAAGTTTATATGAAGACAGTAAATAATAAGGAAAATTAAAAAAAAAGAATGTTCATAAATACGAAAGTTTATATGAAGACAGTAAATAATAAAGAAAATTAAAAAACGAATGTTCATAATTTAAATGATATGCAATATAAATTTATGAAAAAAAACGAAAGTATTGTTAATAAAGACGATGGTGATCACGATAAGTTGAAAGACAGTATTGACGATCAATCAGAGACGAAAAAGGCGGAAAATCAGGCAATAACGAAAGGATATTTGTTAATTTTTAATCATAAATGACAGTTTGAATATAAACGATAGTGCTGACTCAAATTGACTGAATCTTACCCCCTTTTTTTATATGACCTTGACGATGCATAGAAAAAAAATAAAACTACAGATTCAGCAACGAATGAACGATGATGAATAGCTAAAGCGACTTAGAATTATAGATAAATCTATTTGCCCAGTACTCTAAGATAATTACTGTTCCTTTAATTCAGACGAAATTTAAAAAATAAATAAATTTAAAAAAAAAATAAATAAAAATAAACGAATTGTTAACGAAAAATTAAACGACAATTACTAATAATAACTTTAAACCAAATGACTGATCTTTCCATGAATTCGCTTCAGAGGAAACTTAAAATGAATTATTATTAGCGAATTAGTAATGACAGTATAGTATTAATTGTTTAATAATTAATAATGGTTTCAATAAATTATTATTATTTTATAATCTAATAATTAATTTAATTGTTAACGAATAAATAATTGAACTTTAAATTAATCTACAACCTTTTGTGTATCTTTACGAGTTGTTGGCGGATAAATTACAGACGATAGATTTGTTTCATATTTTAAATACGACAGTTATTTTCTTTAAATTCCTTTTAAAAATAAATAAAAAGAAAAACGAATTTAAATTGCAAGCAATCCTCATAAATGGAATAAGTATAGTTTACTGTATGGTATTTTTTTTATATACTTGCGATAAAAACGAAACTTTAAGTAAACTAAAGAAACGATGCGAAATAAAATTTAACGAGTGCAACTGAAACAAATATAATTAATTAAATATGATACGAAATGAGATTCTATAAATTTTCTTTTTGATCGACGTGAGAAACTTATTTCTAATTATAAAAACAAAAAAAAACGAGAAGAGAAGAAAAACAATTTTTGTTTTAAAAGGTTTAAATAATGAAAAATAGACGAAACGCTTTTTAATTTAATAACGAATAAAGTATTAATTGTTTTTAAAATTCTATTGTTTTGGCCCAAAACAAATCGAATACTGTCAGTTTACAAAAATCCTTTGTATTTTAAAGTGACAGAAATTATTTTAAATTACTTGAAACCTAAACAAAACGGAATGTTCAAGTAAATGATATAAGTCACATAAAGAAAAACGATTGCTCTTGAAAGAATCAAGAATTCAAAAACAATATTTTTACAAATGTCAAAGCTTTACTTTTTATAAGACTGCCATCAGTCTATGACGACTGTCGCTCATTAAAAAAAAATTTTAAAAAAAACGTTAGGAAAACAAACAGGTATTGTATGTTAAATCAAATCATTATTCCGTCAATGCCTAATAATATTTTCACCTTGGTAGAAAAATATAATTCACCTAATTATTTCTTCAACCATAAGAAAGTCCGATTATAAATGCAGCAATAATTATAACGATATGTCTCGAAAATAATATTTATTATTTCGATAATAAAAAAAATAATAATAAACGATTACTTTGTCCTAAAGATTGATTTAAAAATATAAATACAGGAATTTATGTTTTCAAAGAAATATTAATCATTTCAAATGTTATTTTAGACAAGTTTTTCGATTTATTTAAACGATATTTATGTGAATAGTTTTAACCCTAAAACGAACGAATTGTTTGCATCAAACTTATATATACAAAACTTTATAGGTTTAACACTGCAGATACTTCGTATTGTTTTTGACACTACTGTAGATTACAAAAAAAAAGCGAATCAAAATAACGAAATTCTCAAAAATAAGTGAAAGCCGAAATAACGATTGTACAACAAACGACTTGATGGAAACAACTGAAAAATATATTAATACTCTAAAAATAACATTTTTGCCAAATTTTACAAAAGGACAATGATAAAATGGTTAACGAAAGTTTCCAAAATCTCAGCAATTGCAAAAGTTCAAATTTCTACAACACAATAATAAAGCGAAAATTAACGAACGTAAGTAAACAATATTCTAGATGAATTCAAATTATTCTCATAACGATTTTGTTAAAACAAATACAGCTATATTGTAGCGTATACAAACTGATTAAATGACTATTGGTTATTTACGAAAGTTAGAGGAATATAATAGAAATAAAATAAAAGCCTAAAATCTAAATAATTTTCGACGACAGTCTTCTAAATTAGTAAGTTATTAGAAATATATCCTTCCATAGTTTGATAATGTTGATAATGTATATGATCTTGGGAAGGTAAGATTTGAATAAAAAATTCAAAAGTGTGTCGTTAAAAGAGCGACGTTTCGTTGGCTAGGGTTTGCCAACCTCATCAGGCTAAAATTTTATTAAATAGATAGGTTACACATCAGTATTTCTTTGGAAAGGTCTAAAAGCACTATTTCAATAAATTAACAATAATGATATACCTAAATTTCGTTAGAACATCGAACACATGCTAACACGTCAAAGATTAAAATTCTGTCAAAATATAATAAAAAATCACTCCACACTTATAAAAATAAAATTTAAAGTAGAGAGAAGACATTCTCACACAGCGATTCACTGTCAACTGAAAAGAAATTTAATTATCTTACAAAGTCAAACCAGGAAACACGTGAGAGAAGTCAATGAACCAAAACATAAACACATTCTTAAATGAGGTACAAGTTATATTGATTTTATTATTTTCTCTATGGACACGAGTCCATACGTCTAAGTAAAGGAAAGAATGTTTTGTTTAAGGTGAAGATATCTTCCTTTCTGTTGATAGTGGAATGATTTGTTTTTATATGGATCATTTCAGATATTCGTCTTTTTTAAAATTAGGTTCATTATCCAATATTTTTGTATTTTCCCAATCAAAATCATGATTAAAATTTAAACGATGTCGATAGACCACAGAATTATCATTTACTTTTTTATGTTCGTTGATGCGAGTTTGTAGTGATCGCTTTGTCTCTCCTATATAAGTTGCTGGGCAGTCTTTACAATCAAACTTATATACGACATTCGTTTTATCCCATTTTTTAGTTGTATCTTTTCCCAATTTTATAATAGAATTAGAGTTTTTGTTAACGATGGGAATAGAGGTACAATTAAATTCCCTAAGAACATTTGACAACTTAAAGAAATATTTTTCATTAAAGGGCAAAGCAACCTTGGGGATTTGACTATATATACTAACTCTATTTTGATCGTTATTATTCTCATTCAAATATTTTAATTTGTTCATTCTAATACCAACATGTTTTTCAATAAAATCTAAAGGATAACTATTGTTTTTTAGAATTTTTCTAATTTTCTTCAAGTTGTCAAAATGGAATTTTTTATTGGATAATGAAATGGCTCTATCAACTAAGTTGTACACAATATTCTTTTTTTGTTGAATTGGATGATCTGAAAAATAATTAATTAGTCTGTCGGAAGAAGTAGGTTTTTGATACCAGTCAGTGATTATATGATTATTTTCTCTAATGAGTGTCAAGTCAAGAAAGTTAATGGAATTGTTCTTTTCTATTTCCATAGTAAATTGTAACTTTTGGTTATAAGAATTGAAAGTGTCAATTACAAGATCGACGTGTTCTCTTCTTACAGCCAAAATTGTATCATCCACATATCTGAAGTAGAATAGTGGAACACAATTATATTTTTCTTTTAATATTTCAAGACAATCACTTTCCAGATCATCCATAACAAGGTCGGAAACAAAGGCCGAGATTGGTGAGCCCATAGGCGTTCCGTAAATCTGTCTATAAAATTTTCCGTCGAGTGAGAAATACGTGTTATTGAATACAAACTTAGTGCAGTCGATGATGTCGCAGAATGGAATTTTACATTTTTGATTTATAGAGCGTATGCGTCGATCTAAACAATAGTTTAGAATTAAAAAACAAATTATGTAACCTTGCCATGGACGATGGCTATACTTTTCTTTCACTTGATGTAAGTTCTATGTTTACAAACATCTCCTGTGAACTAGTCATTCAGAGTTTAGATCGACGCATACGCTCTATAAATCAAAAATGTAAAATTCCATTCTGCGACATCATCGACTGCACTAAGTTTGTATTCAATAACACGTATTTCTCACTCGACGGAAAATTTTATAGACAGATTTACGGAACGCCTATGGGCTCACCAATCTCGGCCTTTGTTTCCGACCTTGTTATGGATGATCTGGAAAGTGATTGTCTTGAAATATTAAAAGAAAAATATAATTGTGTTCCACTATTCTACTTCAGATATGTGGATGATACAATTTTGGCTGTAAGAAGAGAACACGTCGATCTTGTAATTGACACTTTCAATTCTTATAACCAAAAGTTACAATTTACTATGGAAATAGAAAAGAACAATTCCATTAACTTTCTTGACTTGACACTCATTAGAGAAAATAATCATATAATCACTGACTGGTATCAAAAACCTACTTCTTCCGACAGACTAATTAATTATTTTTCAGATCATCCAATTCAACAAAAAAAGAATATTGTGTACAACTTAGTTGATAGAGCCATTTCATTATCCAATAAAAAATTCCATTTTGACAACTTGAAGAAAATTAGAAAAATTCTAAAAAACAATAGTTATCCTTTAGATTTTATTGAAAAACATGTTGGTATTAGAATGAACAAATTAAAATATTTGAATGAGAATAATAACGATCAAAATAGAGTTAGTATATATAGTCAAATCCCCAAGGTTGCTTTGCCCTTTAATGAAAAATATTTCTTTAAGTTGTCAAATGTTCTTAGGGAATTTAATTGTACCTCTATTCCCATCGTTAACAAAAACTCTAATTCTATTATAAAATTGGGAAAAGATACAACTAAAAAATGGGATAAAACGAATGTCGTATATAAGTTTGATTGTAAAGACTGCCCAGCAACTTATATAGGAGAGACAAAGCGATCACTACAAACTCGCATCAACGAACATAAAAAAGTAAATGATAATTCTGTGGTCTATCGACATCGTTTAAATTTTAATCATGATTTTGATTGGGAAAATACAAAAATATTGGATAATGAACCTAATTTTAAAAAAAGACGAATATCTGAAATGATCCATATAAAAACAAATCATTCCACTATCAACAGAAAGGAAGATATCTTCACCTTAAACAAAACATTCTTTCCTTTACTTAGACGTATGGACTCGTGTCCATAGAGAAAATAATAAAATCAATATAACTTGTACCTCATTTAAGAATGTGTTTATGTTTTGGTTCATTGACTTCTCTCACGTGTTTCCTGGTTTGACTTTGTAAGATAATTAAATTTCTTTTCAGTTGACAGTGAATCGCTGTGTGAGAATGTCTTCTCTCTACTTTAAATTTTATTTTTATAAGTGTGGAGTGATTTTTTATTATATTTTGACAGAATTTTAATCTTTGACGTGTTAGCATGTGTTCGATGTTCTAACGAAATTTAGGTATATCATTATTGTTAATTTATTGAAATAGTGCTTTTAGACCTTTCCAAAGAAATACTGATGTGTAACCTATCTATTTAATAAAATTTTAGCCTGATGAGGTTGGCAAACCCTAGCCAACGAAACGTCGCTCTTTTAACGACACACTTTTGAATTTTTTATTCAAATCTTACCTTCCCAAGATCATATACATTATCAACAGTCTTCTAAATTGTAATATATACATATATGTAAGAATTTATACGAAAAAGTTTTTACAATACAAAAATATATGACAGTTTGATAATTTCGATATTTCTTGACAAATAGAATCCTAGAAAGATTTAACGGAATGATACGATAAATAAATTAACTTTCGAATTTCTCTAAGTAAATTTATAATAAACGATTATTTTAACGAAATGAAATTAAACGATTCAAATGTTTAGATTATTTGTCAATAACAAAAAAAAATGTTCATAGTAAGAGATGATAAAATAAATACTTAAAGCAAAACAATTCCATAAACGAATTTGTCATTAAACGATTGGTTCATTAAAATAAAAATTGATAAGACAGTAAATTTTTAGAAAAACAATGATGAATTATTAAAAACGGAGGGAGATAAAATAAAGAACAGTTTACTAAACCTTAAAGACGAATTATTAAAAACGGAGGGAGATAAAATAAAGAACAGTTTACTAAACCTTAAAAACGATTATTAGAAACGAAGGGAGATGAATTGAACAAAAGTATAAATAAATAAAATTTACACACGAAAATTACGAGACTCATATAGTCAGAAAACAGTTTAAATTAGAAAAAACTGAATTTTCTGCATTTGCGATTGTTTTAAAGAATCCAATATAAAAGACGAGTTCATTAGAACCGAAAATAAGACACAGAAATTTTATTTTACATTTATATTAAGATTAGTGAAAATCAGTTGACTGTTAAACAAACGATAGAGTCTAAAAATTAAAACGATTGGTTGAGAAGAATTAATAACGAATTGTATTTGACGACAAAGTATAAATTATATTCCATAATAGATTAACTAATGATAGTTAAAAATAGTAAAAAGTCAAAATATTTATTTAAGATGAGTTTTTCAATCGAAAATACGACAGTTTAAGATCTCTTAAATTTAAAGCAAGTTCAATAATTCCAGTATTTAAAACGTAAAAATTTATGATTTAAAATAAATTTATGCGACAGTATCTAAATATTAATTTTTATACGAACAGTATTAACAACAATAACTCATAACGATCTTAATCAAACTCATGTGAACCTGAATGTCTGTTAGATATGAAAATACGACTTAGAGACAACGAAAAGCATGACAGTTATACAAGAAACAGATGTGAACGAAATTCTGATCAGCTAATAAATTTTATAAAATCAACAAATGTATTAGAACAGTTATCAAATCAAGAACGAAAGGAACGTGGAAACAAATGACAGTTTGGAATTCTATGAAAAAGCTCTTAATATTTCTTAAAGAATAACGATTAATTAGTTTTCTATCACATAGATAAAACTATAAGTTAAGATAAAATTTATATTATAATCTTACTGGAAACGAGTGGAACTTGATCAAATAAATAATTTAACGTTTGACTGAAATTAAAATTATATTTGAACTTCATAAGTAGACGAAACGATCTGTTTGCTAATTTGAACATAAGTTTTTGTTAATAGCAAATAATGTTTTTCAAATGTGATTTTGTAATTTTGATTCTTGTAATGCGACTGTTTCAAGACATTATCTCTTGAAATACTAATAATCAAATTTACATTTTTTATTGAAATTTAAGATTAAATATTGCTATTGATGAAAGTCAATATTTTAACAAAATTATGACGATAAGCGAATCCCCGACGAAAAAGTTTGACAAAGTTTTATTTACAACGACTAGTTAAATATGATAATAAAGCTGCAACGATATGTACAAAACTATTGGCGAAATAAATTAAGGCATATGACATGACGGATGTTCATCAAGAATGTATGAAATAATATGTTAAGTACGATTGTATAAATATCGAATGTTTTTCAATTACATAATAATCGGCTGATATAATAACGAACAACAAAGTTGTGTGATAAAAGTTCAATGTGTAACTATATATCTGTATATATATATATATATATACCTAATAACGACAGATTCCTCTTAGGTAATTTCAAAAAAACAACTAATATGTAAGACAGTTTCTCTTCTAGACAGTTTGAATAAACAAATGATTAAACGACAGTTCTTCTAAGAAAAATTTAAATGAACAACTGAAATACACGACAGTATACGATATGTGACGATGGTAATAAATATACTTAAATGACGAAATTAATTATTTTGAATAATTTTCAGTTACTGAATGAAACTCAGACATAATGATTGGTAGATGAGCTGTTCGAAAGGTGTCCTAAGATTTACAGAAGTTACATATATATCAAATTCGACAATGCTGAAATGTCCAGAATATTCAACTTGAGAAAGGATGGACTTGAAACGACTATATTTAAAATAAATTGAGAAACTTATAAATTATTTTAGCTTCAAATTTGTAAAATTGATCATTTTTATTTATATTGTAAACGAGTCAATCTCGGGAGGGAGTGTTGAAATATTGTATATTCGCGCCTAATATCTCGCTTGACTCTAACAGTAGTTTGATTCTACGTCACTGCCGTGTGCGCACGCACTCCTTCTACTTCTGGATATCGCTTCGACCGTGAACGTCTCGATCGTCAACGAGCTCTTAATAAACGACCGATTTCATCCGTATTTGTGTATTATTATTGACTACATCCTGCTCTAAATAATCTGCATGCCAACACAATAATATTCCCTACTTAAATTAAGTGAGAAATATTCTTACAATAAGAATATTTTCTACTTAATTTAAGTGGAACCACTTAATTTAAGTAGGGAATATTCTTGGCTCCTATTTAAGTAGGAGATTCTTAAAATTAGATTATCGTTTTTTCTGTTCGTGATTCACAGAATATTCTGCGAATTAATGAAAATCTGTTGTTAAATCAATGAAAATATATTCTTAATTCGTAAAATATTTTGCGAATCGGGTATTCAGTGTCATGAAAATTAAGATATACAATATAAACATTATATTACATAATATTTTGAAATCCTTATTAATAAAATCAGACTTTTGTCTGTACATTGCATAGAATTCAAAATTTCTATTATATTCCTTCTTTTTACACTCTACCCTATTGAAAATCCCCATATGGGAAACCACATGGGATCCTATGTCAAAAACCATGTAAAACCCTACTTCCATGAAGGAAACCACGTGGTTTACCATGTGGTTTCCCATGTCAAACCATATAGGAAATTGAGACAGGATTTTAGTTAGGAATAGACATGGAAAATTTGAACAGTTCATCTATGCATAAAACCATATCAAATCCCACATGTTTTTCCCATGTCAAATCCTAAACCGAATCCCATGTGAAAAACAGTATCATTTATTTATAATTATTTTCCCAAGTCAATCCCCAAGTGAAAAACAGTATCATTTATTTATAATGATTTTCCCATGTCAAATCCTAAACCAAATCCCATGTGAAAAACATTATCCGCCTTATTGAATATCCCTACATGGGAATCCACTTGGAATTTTACAAGAGATTTCACATAGGATTTTATATGGGAATTGACATAGGATTTCATGCAAGATTTCACCTAGGATTTAATGAGATATCACATAGTATTTTATTAAAGATCCAATGAAGAAATTTTCAAAGGATTAAAAATTATTTAATAAAAAATTAAATAATAAATAGTATTAGTGTTACAAGTCATCAAAAAAGTAAAAAAACGATCATTTGAAACACGTCCTCTCTGCTACAGGTTCTCAGCTTTTATATACTTCCAGAATCGTCTCAACAGCGAGAGAAGTCACTTTCGCCACCTAGCGGCGAAAGTATAGGAGCGACAGTAATCTTTATCATTACTAAGGAAACCATGTGGAATACCACGTAGGATTCCATGTGGTTTCCTACGTGGGGATTTACATGGGATTTTACTTAGGGATTCATTTGGGAATTTATTTCTACTTAAATTCCTAAGTAAAATCCCATGTAAATCCCCACGTAGGAAACCACATGGAATCCTACGTGGTATTCCACATGGTTTCCTTAGTAATGATAAAGATTACTGTCGCTCCTATACTTTCGCCGCTAGGTGGCGAAAGTGACTTCTCTCGCTGTTGAGACGATTCTGGAAGTATATAAAAGCTGAGAACCTGTAGCAGAGAGGACGTGTTTCAAATGATCGTTTTTTTACTTTTTTGATGACTTGTAACACTAATACTATTTATTATTTAATTTTTTATTAAATAATTTTTAATCCTTTGAAAATTTCTTCATTGGATCTTTAATAAAATACTATGTGATATCTCATTAAATCCTAGGTGAAATCTTGCATGAAATCCTATGTCAATTCCCATATAAAATCCTATGTGAAATCTCTTGTAAAATTCCAAGTGGATTCCCATGTAGGGATATTCAATAAGGCGGATAATGTTTTTCACATGGGATTTGGTTTAGGATTTGACATGGGAAAATCATTATAAATAAATGATACTGTTTTTCACTTGGGGATTGACTTGGGAAAATAATTATAAATAAATGATACTGTTTTTCACATGGGATTCGGTTTAGGATTTGACATGGGAAAAACATGTGGGATTTGATATGGTTTTATGCATAGATGAACTGTTCAAATTTCCCATGTCTATTCCTAACTAAAATCCTGTCTCAATTTCCCATATGGTTTGACATGGGAAACCACATGGTAAACCACGTGGTTTCCTTCATGGAAGTAGGGTTTTACATGGTTTTTGACATAGGATCCCATGTGGTTTCCCATGTGGTTTCCCATATGGGGATTTTCAATAGGGTAACGAATGCGAAAATACTATTAAGAAAATTATGTGTGTATGTGTATATGTGTGTATGTATTTCAGCAAATTTTCGACCGCGTATCACGGAAAAACGGTTCGATCGTTTGAAGAGAAACTTGGCAGTCTTTTAGGCATTAGCCTAACTTAAAATCCTAGCGATAGTAAATTAAAAAATATTAATATGGACGAAAGTTATGCCATTTTTTCAAAAATTCGAAAATTCGAAATTTTTAGTTTTTTAATATACTTTAGTGAATTGTACTTAAACTTGGTACAGGGTTAATTT